GGCAATTATATAGAACCAGCTGGAGTATCTTAGCACTGGCAGTCTCATTCTCAGGTAAAATAATAAACATGTCCATAATCCTGCCCAAATATCTGTACCTGATAGTGATGGGATAATAACTGTTGCTGGTTCATGGTTTTTGAGTGACTGATCTGAGAAGAGGAATAAAGTCACACATATGGAAATGTGGGAACATCGAACATATGGAAAGCTGCCTCCAGAGTCCGGAGAAGTTAACTTGTCTCGTCTCTCAAATGCTACTTTTGCTGCACCAGACACAGAAGTGTACGATGCTTCCTTCAGACATATAAATTCAGCATATTGATTTCTTCGTCAGCACAATGTTTTATATTGTAACTAAATTAGCACACTGTACTTCAAGCAACCTTGCTATCTCCAAAAATTAAGCAGCCTTCTTTACCTGGACAAAATTATTTTATATTTGTCCTTATCATTATTCAGTTCCAGAAATGGTACAAAACATTATCCCCCACCCCCAAAAATCTGTTAATCTCTTCTTAGTATCAGAATAATTTCAGGTTTGTTTTAAGTTTTCCGGCAGAAAGGAGAGCTCTTTATTTAAAAGTGACTTGAAACAGAGTGGAAAGAATGAATTTGTCTCTTTCTCATAAAATGTTTATCCAAAATCATAGTAAGTTTAGATGTTTACGAAAGTTATATCTTTATAACAATCCCTATAAGATAATAAGAACTTAAAACATAAATGTGGTGTAAACATTTATGAAACTCTTTTGTTTATTGTGCATCATTTCCTCACCACAATAATGCTGCTGTTCACTGTTGTATAATTTATCTTAGTGCCACTTCAATTGTGTTTGCAGTTTTCATAGGAAAGCATCCTAGTTGGGATAATTACTCACTTTGGAGACGATCAGCAATTTTGTTCATAAGCACCTCTGAAAATTACCCTATCGGCAGAAGGCATTATCCTGCAAGGACAACATATTGTGCTGCTAAGAAGGGGTATTTTGTCTTTTCTCTTTTCCTTTTTTCTCTCCTTTCCTGTCCCCCAAAACATTTGACAATTGCTCACAAGATGTGCCAATTTCCTTACAACTCCTCACCAGTTATTTTCAGATATACAATCTCTGTGCCTTTTTTTTTTTTTTTTTTGTAACTGTGCCATTGCCATACGTTCTCCTAAAATTCTTAGCTAATTTTAAGGTGCTCTCTTAACATTTAAGTTTCGAAGACATGTAAGCAAATCCAGCTGGATCTTCTGGCAGCTTGGATGTCCGTTGGGGAACATGCATTTCAGGATAAATATCCATTATCAAATCATCACCAAGATTTCAGTTTCTATATTTAATTACATTTGCATTGAACATGCAATTATCAATCAACTTAAAAATAAAATAATCCTTGTAAAAACACCATGGAGATGTTTCTTGACAAGTTCAGTCACAGCAAGTTTACAGATCCTCAGTTCTTGTAAACTGACTCAAGTGCAGTGATGAGAGCTTGAAATGTTTCTGTTGCCAGAGCCTAATTCTGCTGCTTTTATTCATATGGGAGGATAGACTCCTGTATAAATAATCTCACTGAGCAAAACAAGTAAGCAACATGGGGGAAAATTAATTCTTGCTGTCTTTTTGCAAACTTCACAGCTAGTAAATCTTTGTGGGAGAAAAGCTGCACATGATAGCACAGTTGTGAAAGCTGGAGGCTACTGTGTGAAAGACAGGGAACTTACAGGTATATCCACTTCAATTCTGAGTGTGATACCCCAAAAGATCTAAGGTACCAATCAAATGTGATTGGTAATATTAGGTAATACTTTTCCTTCTATTCCCCTGAGATTTTCCTGGCAAGACTTTCCAGTCACTGGAGTTGCATTTTAATTGCTTTGAGAACCTATCAAAGGTTGACTTCCTCACCTTTGAAATAACTGCCCCAGCAGAATGATCATTATACTTCTTGATGCTGCTCCTCTTAGCAGTTCACATGGGATAATACTCACTGTAGTTTGTTTCTGCTCTCTATTGTAAAACTTACATAGCTTATGCTTGTTTTCTGCCACCGTATTTGTTATACATGTGTTATTATCCAGAAATCATGTTTTCTTGTGCCCTAGTCTAAGCACAGCCATTAAACTCCATGTCAGCCTTCCCCCCAGTAAACAGCACACTCTAAGGAATAATGCTATAAGCCAAAGCATGGGAAATAATACCAGTCTGTCTGTTACTGGTACCAATTAACGTTTTAAAGCACTTTGAAATTCTCATCTTTTGGTTCATTTAATGTATGGTCATGAGCACCAAGAGTCATATAGATTTGGATGACAGAAAATGTGTGCTTTATTTCTGCATTTCTCTAATCCCCTTTTGTGTGACCTCAGCATGATTTGCTGTTGTGGTTCACTGTGGGACACTTTTATTTACAGATCTTTATTTTCCAACTAATGAGTTGTTCCACAAGCAGCAGAAACAATGAAACCCTGCACACTTATGTACTTTGTCCCCTCCTCCCCTCCATTCTCTGTCTCTCCACTATGGAGGAGGGACCTAAACATACCCTAAAATACATTTCAGTTGGGATATGTGACAGAGTACTTTGAGCTACGTGCTTACTGATGGGCAAACCAGCGGCTGCCTCTTCCTTCAGGGAGGCCTCTGTTTCTCACAGTGGTATTACAAGAATGTGATTATCTTTGAGCTTTATACACATCTTTTGTTGTTTTAATCCATTGTTTCAGAGCAGTGAAAAGCACTTTTCCTTGATAAGCTGGACTGACAACAGATTTCTCCAAATGCTGTACTGATGTGTTGTGGACAGCCTACAATGGTGTGCCCTGGTGACTGCTGCACACAAGGAACCAGGCAGAGCTCTCAGAACAAGGATTCCTGTTTGGAAGAAGAGCATCCTCACCTGATTTCAAAGGAGCAAGAACTAGTCACTCAGACCTGACACTGGTGCAATTCTCATAATATTGATGATTTAAAATAAGCAAACTTGGGACAGCAGCATTCTTGTGGGCAAGAAACCTCCTATTTGCTTCTGTATTGTGTTGTGTGGAGCATGTGTACATGGATTTCAGTCCTTGAACCTGTGCAGATCTGACCCTCAACTATAGGGTAGACTATAATGGATGTTCAGGTACGTGTACAAGTTACTGGGTTTTATTTATTAACACTCCTTTTATTTTCTCTAACTATTCCACCTTTGCTGGATGGAAATGCTCCAAAACATTAAAGATAAATTTGACAAAACTGGCATCCTACCCATGTGATAGTGAGGGTTTCTTGCTTTTTGCCAAGCAAGTTTTATTTTTATTTTTATTTTTAAGGTTTTAATCTAATAATTGTTTTCATCACCTTTCTATATTAATTTATTAGTGATGTCTATTTCTGTAATTGGGTACTAGGGCTAACGGAACCTTTATACCTGGGAAAATTTCACCAAAATTTTCCTCTGCTGTGCTTTCCTGAACCTGCACTAAAGGCTGGTGCCAAAAGTCCCAGCAATTAAGCATCTCTCATGACATTCATGAGCAGAGCACCTCCTAAATATAAATCTCATGCTGACCTGTAAGGCTTTGCTGAGGCTGCCATATTTTGGATTTCCAAAACTTTATGAGGAATATCAGTTCAATTCCACTTAAATATATATGAATCTGTTCCTTTTATACTATATTGCAAAATCTTTAGCTTAAGAGCAGGACTGTGAGGTGTGGAGCTGAGCAATATGATTCTGATTTACGTGGTGTAGATCAACCAATCAATGGCAAAAAGCCCTCACATTCCCTTCTACCAGCATTTTCTCTTCACTCTGTTTCACTCCCAAGTGTCCTAAAACCACCCTCTGGGGAAAGAATTTGGACTTTATCCCCTATCCTCAGAAAAAATATTTATTCTTCCTATATTTCAGAATTTTGTAGACTATTGTACAGCAGGAGCCAAGATGGAGATACTGATCATGTCATTCATATTAGTTTGCTGCAAAGGGACTTCTTGTCTCCCTCCTCCTCCCCAAATCCTCTTGAAAAGGGCAAGGGAAGGGTTGGGAAAAAATATTAGGGATGTGTTAATTTGGATTAATCCTTTATTATCCACTATCATTGCTTCACATTAATATAAATCTACTTCTATCTCCTTCCATATATCATACAGGTGGTAAGGTGACAAATTTATGGAACCTTCTTTGGAGCCTATAGCTTAATTAACCCCCTCAAAAAGAATTACCTCTTCAAAGTCAAGGTGGACAAAGAAAACCACCCCTTTATGCAGGTTACAGGTTTTTTTCCTTACAAAGCAAGATCCACAGCCAGACAGCACCAAAGCATCCAAACGGCAAGCAATTTATTTTTTATCGGTTTTATTTCACGCAGCCGTGAATAGCAGAGGTATGTTTCCCCTCTGGACTAATAACAGAAGTCAAACCAAGTGAATTCCTAGACAGCTGAATGAACATGGAGCCCGACGGGATTAGTTACAGACGCGCCCGTGCGCGGGGCCCGCGGCGGTCCCGCTTCCCGCGGGCGGAGCGGGGGACCCGCCGAGCCCCGCGCAGCCCCCGCCGGCCGCTCCCGGGGGAAAACGGGCTGCCAGGGCCACTCCAGCCCCGGGGCGCTTCCCCGCCCGCGGGCAGCCGGAGCGCCGCTCCCGCGCTCTCCCGGGATGCTGGGGCTTCCCGGTGGGATTCTCCACCAAGCCGCCGCCTCTCCGTTCTCGGCTGTGTCCCCTCCGTCAGCGGCGGGGGGAGCGGGCTCCGGAGGGGCCGCGGCGGCGAGGCGGGGGAGCCGCCTCACCCCGCCGGGGGCTGCCGGCAGGCGGGCGTGCGGGGAGGGACGCACGGGGAGCCAAGGAAGGGATCCACGAGGGGATGCAGGGCGGGATGCTCCCGTCCTGCCGGCACCTCTCAGAGCGGCGGAGGAATCTGCGGGTCTGCCGCTCGCCGCCGTGGCGGGGTGCGTGTGCGGCGGAGGGATCGGCCGGCCCCGCCGTGCGCCCGCCCCCTGGCGCGGGAGGCGCGGCCGGCACTCGGCGAGCGGCGCTCCGCGGGTGCGGGGCTGCGCGGGCAGCGGCGGCAGCAGGGTTTGCCTGGGCTGGCCGAGCATCCTCCGACTTGGAACTGTCCACCGGCGAGAGCTCCTGAACATGAGCCTCCTGCCTCTCTACCTGCTCGGATTGCTCCTCAGTAGCGGGCAAGGTAGGAGCGCGGCCGCCTTTTTCCTTTTCTTTTTTTAATTTTTTTTTTCCTTTTTTCCCTTTTAATTATTATTCTTATCTATGCTGTCCACTCGCTCAAATTAATGGAAAAGAAACGGAGAAAAAAAATAAAGCAATGCATTATCCTGGAATCAAATTAAGAAGGACCTAAAACTTGCTTCATCGCCTGCCTTTTTTTTTTTTTTTTTTTTTTCGTTTCAGTCTTCAAGAGGTGTCATTTATGAGGAGGGAAAAAAAAAGCTGGACAGTACTAAGTGCACTTAGCTGCTTTGCCTAGGATTTTGCCTTTGTATTTATTTTTTTTTTTTATTTGCACCCGATAAATGTATGAGAGAGATGAAGCGATTACACAAAATCTGCCGAGCACTGGTCTTTAAAATCCGCGTCTGCCCGCGGTGAAGGCAGTGTGGGCTTCATTCTTAGGAGCAGGGAGAAGTGCTGGCGGTAGAGCCCGTGAGAAGCCCGACCTGAAGTCTCCCTGTCGGGGTTTCTCCTCTCTGGAAGACCCTTCCCCGCGCGCTGCGGGACGCGGAGCCCCCGGCTCGGGGGTGGCGCGGAGGGGAGGGCGCTGTCGGGGCCGCGGGGCTGTGTGCGGTGCGGAGCCCTCGTGCCACGGAACAGCACCGCGGGGACAGGTGTGTGCGGGATCGGGGCGCGCCGGGCTGGAGCCTTCGGGCGCGCTTGGTCCGGAGCATTCGCCTGCCCGTGTATTTATATATATATATATATTTATACATATATATATATATGTGTGTGTGTGTGTGTGTGTGTTTATTTATATACATACTATACATACGTACAGTGCTTCGAGAAACGCGGACTCGGGGGCTGTGGTGCGGCCACAGGGTTTGGTTTGTTTTCTGGGGCTGACATATATATATATGTTTATAGCTATTTATTTGTTTATTTTTGGAAATCCCCTGCGTGGTTACTTAAGGATTTGTGCTCCTGGAGGAGTCTGGGCGGGAAGGGGCGCCGGGAGGGGCGCAGCCGCTGGGTGAGGGATAACCCCCCGGTGTTTGGAAACTGTTCGGGCAAGTTCCCGGCGTCCGGCCGGGGCGCTGAGCCGCGCGGGGCTGTCCCTGCCCCCGCTCCCGCTGCCCCTCTGCTCTGTGCGAGGCTTCCTTCCCTGCACCTGAGGGGCTGGGCGGCGGCCCCACTTGCTGGGGAGGTTTTAGGGGAGAAATAAACCCCACCCAGCCCAAACGCCCCAGCGGGATGGCCGCGGGAGCGGCGGGGCCGGCCCCGGGCCGCGCTGCCGCCGCCGGCCGCCAGGGGGCGGCCGAGCTCCACGGCCGCGCCGGGCAGAGCCCGGGACGGGGCGGCCTCGCCCGGGGCTGCGGGGCTGGGAGGGCTGGATGTGCCCCCCACGGGGTCCTGGGCAGGGCTGGGAGGGCTGGATGTGCCCCCCACGGGGTCCTGGGCTGGATGTGCCCCCCACGGGGTCCTGGGCAGGGCTGGGAGGGCTGGATGTGCCCCCCACGGGGTCCTGGGCAGGGCTGGATGTGCCCCCCACGGGATCCTGTGCGGGGCTGGATGTGCCACCCACGGGGTCCTGGGCTGGGCAGGGCTGGATGTGACACCCACAGTGTCTTCTGCGGGGCTGGATGTGCCAGACACCCACGGTGTCCTGTGCCGGGCTGGATGTGACACCCACGCTGTCCTGGGCGGGGGCAGCGAGATTTGTCGCGTTTAAAGAAGGGACGGGGGTCAGGCATGATGCTTTGAGGTACCAAGAACCGCAGCTGCGAAGTCTCCTTCCATGCATCTGTGGCTGAACCTGGCACCATCCAGGCGGTTTCTTTCCGCGACAATTAGTAAAACGAGAGCACCAGGTGCTCTCCATTTCTGCTGAAAATGCTCCCCTGCTTTTGCCACCTCGGGGTGAGCTGGGGAGGTCTCCCGAGGAGCAGCGATTCGGGAACGCTCCGGGGGCTTTTCGGCACAGCCGGCACCGGGATGGCAGAGGAGGAGAACGGGAAAGCTTCCTGCAGGCTTTGCATTGATCCACCTGGTGTAATGATGTGCGTAGAGATGGGGAATGCGCCTCCTCCAGAGGAGGAAGGGTAGAAAGCGACTTTGTGAAGTGTGATTTCTGCAGCGTGGGAGGATTGCATAGTTTAGGTATCTTACTATCACAAATGTCAGGAGATAAATAATGGAGTGGAATTACAGATGCTATTAAACCGAGTTTTAAAAATTATAGGATATGTATGAGGGGGGGATGGAAAGAAGAGGTGGAAAGCTGAGTAAACCTAATATTGATAGTAAGTTATTTCCTTCAATTTAAAGAAACAGCTTCATTTTATTTATTTATTTTTTTATTAAAGGGAATTTCATTGGCAGAGTATGATTTTTTAACTGTCTGTAGAAGTAACAGAAACGTGCAGCCTCAATCCACAGCAGGGCATAGTAAATGGGAATGGGAGAACATCTGCATATGGAAAATACACCCATTTAGGTTGCTAGGGAAGAGGCGTTTTCTACAGTGGTTTTTGGGGCCCATATTCATTAAAAGTAATTAAAACATTATTTTTAATTTTAATGAGCATTATTGAGGTGAGGGTTTTATTGTACATCTTGAAGTGAATCAATTGAATCAATGATTTGAGAGGATATTCCAAAAACTCTTGGGATTTTTTTGGGGGTTTTTTTGGGGATTGCAATGGTGAGGAACACTTACATCATCAAATGAAGATTGGGGTGCTTGTGAGGGTTACGTTTTTTGTTTGTTTTTAAGAAAGGCATTATTATGTGAGTCTTAAATGTGTATGACTTTTCAGATAGTTTGGATAGCTAAGAAAAAGTCAGTAACTACATTTGGATAATTTGCTTTGGAAATACTGAAACTCTTAGGTTCAGGATTTATATTTTGAAGGATAAAGCTGCAGTAGATTTTATGAAGAATGACTGAAGCCTTTTCTTTGAGAAGTGCTGGTGTCTAAGACTGGAGAGACAGAGAGAGAGAGACTGCTGCATTTGTTCTGTTCCAGAAAATCAGAGCAGTTTGAGAACAAGTAGCAGACAGTCAACCCCTCCCCCAGCCCCTTACGTTAAGAGCTTATGAATGTCATAATTATCTACCAGGGCCAAATATTCCCTCTCCTAATTTCATCACAAGGGAGGAGTTTAACTGGCAGTGTTATTATGCTCAAACAAAAGGATTTTTTTTCTTAACATTTTGAAGCTGTCCAGACAATTTATCAAGCTTGAATTAGCTTTGCTTTAATAAAAATTGAAACAAAACACACACACATACTCCCCACCATACCACAAACCAAAAAAGAGCATACTGCACTCTGCAAATCTGCCTTTTAAGAAATGTAGTGATAAATAAAGTTTCCTTGGTTTTTGCCAGTGTCTGGGGACACTGACTTGAAGTGGATGAAATTGACGTCTTCCCAAATTGTAAAATCCTATTTTTTACCACTTTGTATAATGCACATTTCTCTAGGTTAACTTTTTTTTTTTTAATTGAAGTTGCAGTAGAAAATGTTTTGCTTGCAGAATTCAATCTATTTTGTGCTCATCCAGGAGATTCATAGGAGTGAGTATGTTGTACTTCAACTTTCTTCTTTTCACTGCTTTGGTATGAGGTTTCTTCTTGTATTTTGTGAAGAGTTTCTCTTTACAAGTGCTTTAAAGGGATGGCTTGTTAATAAGGAATTTTCCTCCAGGGAGATGCCAGCATGTGTGTCTTATTCACCAACAGTTGGGAATCCTGCTTCTTTCTGCCTTTTCTGTAGTGAACCCATGACATTTGGAATTTTTGAAATCAGTGATTTTGCTTACTGGATTAAGTGGAACTACTATTTTACTCTGATTGTGCACTGAAATCTGAAGCAGATCCTGAGACTTCAACTAGACATTTTCTACCAGTTGATTTGTACAATTGCATTAAGATTAAAATACAAATGTTATCTCTCCTTCCTGTGTTCACCCTTCTAAAACAAACAAAAATCTGACAAAATCGTGTTTGATTTTTCTGTTTTAGGCTATGTTCTGCTCTTCAGGTAAATATGAGAATCAAAATGCCTGCCTGAAAATAAGCCTGAACTGATGAGGGGTTCTGAAACATTGACTTAAAAATATGTAGATGAGAAATATGTAGAGAGCTTTATTTCATGCACTCTCATACAAATGAAATTAGAGATACTTTTATCCTTTGCAGCAACTATAAATCATGAAACATATGAATGATAAAGTTATAGCCACAGAGCTTTAAAGTCTTAGAGGTTGAATAGCATAATTTGGACTTTTCCTCTTACAGCACAACACATTTATTTAGATAACTCATTATTTTTATCTATGGAAATGCTGCTGGATTGTTAAGATGAATTTCTGTATTATTTGCCGTTCATGGCCACCTTCTTCAACAAATATTTTGAGAACAAATGCAGTATTTGTTTGCCCTTTCACTGACCTTTCCTTTGAGGCACCTTTCTCAAGTGGTTCATGTTTACCTACTGATTTTCTTTCAATTTACTCCAGTAATCCCACAGTTACATTCAGCACATGCCATTTGATTCCAGTGCAATTGAGTCAAGTTAATATGACATTTTGGGAAACACATGTTTTAACTTCACTGTAATTTGTGTCTGAGAGTTGAAACTATTATTGAAAGAGTAGGATATGAACTTCTCCAGGTAAAGAATCTGGATAATGGCTGGTATTCAGATTTTAAACCATTTATTTCAACTAATTCATACCAGATGTTGTACTTGTTTGCTTGGTTTTTTGTTTGTTTGCTTGGGTTTTTTTTGTTTTTTGGTTTTTTTTTGTGGGGTGTTTCGGTTTTTGTTTGCTTGTTTTAATTATTTTTTTAGCATACACATTTGCCTTAAGAAATAAGGGCAGTATAATTGATGATGTGTGTTCTGAAGCTCAGCAGGTCATTTGAATCTCATTTTCAATGTCTCTTGAAATTCAGGAATAGGAGCGACTGGAGAAAAACTTACTGGTAACCTGAGGTATTCAAAT